TTGGCAGAGCTTTGAACAGATGACCTAAGGGACAAGTCCCACAGCCGCTGACAATTGAGCTAAACCTTGGGGTTAACAAAAGGTAGTTTATACCACAGCAAAAGTGAAGGGGCAACTTTGGACTTTCATCCTTGTAAGTATTTTGACACATGAAGTTCACTCATTTCATGTTGGAGCTACTCTAATTGTAAGGATAGGTACAAGACGACTTTCTAACGGCGAGGGTATGAATGGACCTAAAGTAGAACAAAGGGTAACATTAACCAATTTCGGAGCAGCACAAAACTTCAAACATATCATTAAGCATGGTTTATGAATTCAAAGTTTTCACTTTACTCATTTGTAAAGCCTAAACCTACACAATTTGATCTTTACCATCAAATATTTTTCTTAGCTATAATCTGGAATTATGCATTCATCTGTCAGTGCGGTTTGATGAAGGGAAAGAGCAAAGACTAATTCAATTTTCAGTCAGATGCATGTTCCAAGGTAAAGTCACTAGATAAGTCCTACCAGCCTATAACTCACTTAGATAGGTTAAGAACATTCAAACTTTAATCAACCATTGCAGGATATTTGGTCAGTTGACCTGTACTTCATTCGTTTTCATCTAAAAAGACAAGGGAAGCTACTCTGCATTCAATGCCGGTATGTTCTCTCATTTTGAGTGGCATGCTGCAAACTTAATAATTCTACATTTGGTATCAGGATATGATGCAGTTTTTTCTACAAAAAGCCAAATAAGCAAATAACGACAGAGAATAAACTAAAATGTAGCAATTGTATTAGCCCCAACAAATTTTAGGAAGGCTAAAAGATTGGGAGGGAATGCAAAGTTATTAGGAGTTTAGTAGATTCTACTTAATGAAAAAGACCAAAGAAAACATCTACTGGATCAACTATACATCATAAAAGATAAACTCTTGTCCCTTTGCTCTTTGATTTTTTTCATTGCTTCAAGTTCCTCCCTTTTAGTGGCCAATCTAATTCTAGGAGGCATTCAAAGTGTCACAGATAAATTCAGGACCCAGAAACCAAAATTTTCACCTCTCATCTTTTACCATTAGAAAAAATCACATGCAGTTATTGGTACATGGAAAAAAATACTCATGCACTTGAGGAACTGTAAGAGAATGCACCATATACAAGACTCTTTGAAACAATAAATTGGAACAAGTATAGCCAATATTCAAAACTCTATTATATACCAAGTAAACAAAAAAAGGTTATCATTTCTGATAGCTTAAGCTTTTAGATGAAAGATCTCCCAACAGGGGGATCTTGGGTTCAAGTTTACAGGTATATGTACATATAATCAAACGTTTCAACTGAAAGCAATGTCTTTGAACCCATAGTCTCAACGATTTTGAAAAAAATGTTATAGGTTCAATAGTAAGAACCTAAAGGCTGAATCAATTAACTCTAAACTTGTATCTTTCTATGTTCGAGTTGCATTGCCACCACTCATCTAACATATATTTCATGTCTTTAACCAAAGAAAATATCAGGCTCTAACGTAAGGAGACGTGTTGTGAACCTGGATAATAAAGAAAAAAATATCACTTCGCCTGACATGAGACAGTCACACAATCCAACACACTCCTCATTTCTTCTTTTTTTCCTCAGATAAATGAGAGATCTCCCTACTAGCCATTTTCATGGTTCAAGTACAGAAAAAAACTCATAAAATGTGAAGTGAGCAGAAACCAATTTAAAATAACTCAAAGTCTCACAAAGAGTCTGGCCTAGTATATCCTATGAGGTCTCAGTTTTACACCCCGGATGCAAAAACACTAAGGAGTCGTTTGGTCAGATGTATTAGAAAATCTAATAGGATTATCAACATATGTATAACTAAGACATGTATAAGCATGTTAAAGACATAACTATCTACAATACACCAAACCAAACTATGAATAAAAAATCATATCAAGCATAACTAATCCCAACATTCAACATTACTAATACACCCTATACAACACCAAACAAGGGGTTGTTTGTTAGGATGTATTAAAGAATCAGAATCTACTACATGTATTAGTCATGATATTATTTAATCTTTTGTATGGTAAAATTTTTTAGCCAAGAACAAAACCATGGTAGTAGTAATACAACGGATAAAGACAAAACTACCCCTAATACACTAAACCAAACATATCACAGCATTACTAATCTCAACATTATCAATACTATTCTTATACACTCAACCGAACAATCCCTGAGTGATTTCTTCTATCTATCTAGACCTCGGTGGACAAAGTTACTCGATAACAATGTTATTTAAGATGTAGCTGCACCGCACACCACAAAAAATCACTCAAAGTTGACCCAAAATTTCCTGTATAAGACAGATAAACACAACAAACAACAAACAAAACAAAAAATGCAGCATCAAACATCAAAAAACACAAATCAAGAATCAAAATTTAGTTACCTGAAATCCTTTTGGAGAAGTCGACCCACCAATCTGAAGGACAAACATGAGATAACGAAGAATGTAAAGGGGTATATTGGTCAACATCTTTCTCCACCTTCTTCTTCCTCTTTAACCCCCTTATAGGCCCCATTGAAAAAACTCAAAAAAAAACAATTGATTCACAACCAAAACACAAAAAAAATCTCTCTACAGAACTGTAAACTCCACAAGAAAAGATTTTGACCAAATGGGTATGCTTAAATGAAGGAATATTAAGAGATTTTTGCTATTTTTAGAAAGTTATAATCAAGAAAAAAAAATGAAGAACAAGGTGACTGAGAGCAGAGTGCAGAGGAGAAAGAGGAGGAAGAAACTAAAATGGGACAATTGTGTAAAAAAAAGAAAAAATTGTTTTATGGTTTTAAAGAAGCATGCAGTAATATATAGTTTGTTTTATTATAAATGTTTTTTTTTTTATTTAGATATAATCGGACTCGAAAATATTGTGTATCGGACTCGAAAATATTATAATTAGGAGTTACATTCAAGGTTGAGGTTGGGGTCAGGATCGAGTGTCATGTCTCGAGTTGAGTCTATAAAGAGTTTTAAAAAATGTTTTTTCTTACTTGAATATACTATAATTAGGACTTACTTTCGAGGTCGAGGTTCGGGTTGGGATCGAATGTCATATCTCGTGGTTGTAAAATTTTGGAATTTTTCTTTCTTTATATAGGAAAATAAGATCATTCAAATAAATATTTAAATCAGTCAAATAAGATATAGAAAATGAAAAAACACTAATGCGTCCATTTAATTTTTACTTATTTTTTTCATGTTGTACTTAATATTCATATTAAAGTTCCGATTATCTAGATTTATAACGTATAGAGCTTACTAGAGAAAAGTATTTTGCTATTATTATTTGTTGCACCTGTGATTTGAATATGATACTTCATATTAAATGTGAAGATTAATTTCTATATATCGACAAACATCATAAATCATGTTGAAATGACATTGTTAATAAGTCAATGAGGATACGTTTGTATTTTTACTAAAAAGGTGTTGTGTAATTCCTTAGAATCAATTTATTATTTTAATTTAATGTACGTGCAATACACGTGTATGTCACGTTAATATACAGTATTACATACAATAAAAATGAAGTATATAATACTGCAACAACAGTTACAATGTATGTAATATTATATATTCATTTAAATAACAAAGATATGTATTTTTATAATTTTAGTATGTGTGTTGCACGTGTATATTATCTCAATTAATTAACACAAAGTATAACTTTAAATAGTTTGAAAGATTTAAGAATTCTTTAGAATTTCTATTTAAAATTTATTGTACTTTTAGAGTAATGTGTCATTGATTTTCTACTTTGAAGATAACATATATCATAATGTGCCTTCGAATAAATATTTAAATCAGTCAAACAAGAAATAGAAAATGAAAAAAATACTAATGCAAGGGTTTAACTTTTACTTACTTTTTTATATTGTGTTTGATATTCATATTAAAGTTCCGATTATCTAGATTTATAACGTATAAAACTTACTAGAGAGTAGTATTTCCTATTATGATTTGTTGCACCTATTTGAATATGATACTTCATATTAAATATGAAGATTAACTTCTATACATCGATAAACATCATAAATCGTGTTGAAATGACATTGTTAATTAGGGATGTGTAAAGTTTAAATCGATCGATAAATCGAATTGAAAAAGTAGTATTGATTTTCACAAGGTTGTGAAAATGAATTGTGAATTTTGCTCTGCCTGGAAAAACTATATGATTTGTTGCCTTCATTATTGTCTAATTTAGTATACGTGCATTACACGTGTGTATCGTTAATATAAAGTATTGCTTACGGTAAGAATGAAGTATACAATACTACAACGAAAGTTACAATGTATGTAATATTATATTCATTTAAACAACAAAAATATGTGTTTTTATTATTTTAGAACAATAATTTAAAATGATAATAATTTAATTCTAAATTTAATATTTTGTAAGTATTAATGGTTTCCTTAACAAAAAAAGAAGAAACTTAAAACCATGTCACGTCAATATAAAAGAATTGTATATAGTATATGATATTGCAATTGATGTTACAATATATATAATATCATATTCATTTAATAGAAAAAAAAAAGTTTTATAATTTTAATTTTTAACATACATATCACTTTTAATATATCAAGAAAATTATTATACCCTCAACTAAATGACTTATTACATTAAAAAATATAAAAAATTTTATCTACTCCACAGTTAGTAGGGGTAAAATGGTAAACTCACTACGTCATTAATTATTTTCTTAATAATTATATCAATTCATAAGTAGACAAGTGAAAAGAGACGGAAAGAGTATGTAGGGACATGAAATAATTGTTGCTATTTATTTAAAAGTAAGTAATTCAAAATTTTAACATATACTTTTTGGACAAGATAAAATATTCTTTGAAAATATTTAACTAAAATATAGTGATTTTTTGAAGAACACACATATTAAAAGTGACGTGCGTGCAAACTGACGTGAACATCACGTTCATGAAAGAGAAATGAAAACACAACTGAAAGAATCTTGAAAAAGACAATTACAACATGAGCATTACTACCATTGATTCATAATGTAAACTGTGTAAAGCCATACATAAAAATGCATCCTGAGATGTATAATAATATAAGGTATAAATCTACTTATAGTATGAAAAAAAAATGAACACACTATAACCACAATTTTCAATACAAGCTTCTTCTTTACCTTCCTTTTGGATTCATTATTTGAGAGAACACTCCAGATGAAGTTGTTACATCTGATTCACCATGGCTAACAATGTCGATTTCATCAGCCTCACCCGACTCAACACAGGGAATTGAGTAAGGTATATCTGGTATACCATTGCTGTTTTCATCTTCTAAAGATTGTCTGGCAGCAGCTTGTAAGTTAAGAACGTATTCAAGATTCCAAAGAACGTCCCCCATCGATGGTCTTTCAACACCATACTCAGCCAAACACTTCTCCGCGGTTTCACCATATTTCCTGAGTGAATCGAGGCTCACTTTTCCTGCAAGATAAGGATCGATTATGTGCTCCAATTGTCCCTTTTTTTGCCAATGCATTGCCCACTCGGCTATGTTTACTTGTTCTCGTGGGAGTGAAGGATTGATTGCTGAACGTGCACATAGGACTTCCATGAGTACTACTCCAAATGAATAGACATCAGACTTCTCTGTCAGTTGCTGTCTACGATAATACTCTGGATCGAGGTAACCAAAACTTCCCTTCACGGCTGTGCTCACGTGAGTTTGATCTAACGCGGGGCCAAATTTTGATAAACCAAAATCAGCCACTTTTGATGTGAGATTCTCATCCAACAAAATATTGGTAGTCTTGACATCGCGGTGGATGATGCACTCAGCTGCACCAGTGTGAAGATAATGCAATCCTTTCGCAGCTCCGATGCAAATTTCTAGTCTTTGTTTCCACGAAAGATGAGGAAAATCTGATCCGTATAAGTGCTTTCTGAGCGGTCCGCCTGCCATGAATTCATATACAAGGATCATCTCATTTAGCTCCTCACAGTAGCCAATTAAAGAAACCAGGTGTCTATGGCGTAGCTTGGATAACATCTCGATTTCTGTCCTGAACTCAACAAGTCCTTGTTGAGACTTGCTATTTCCCCTCTTTACAGCAACCATTACCCCATTTTCTAACACCCCTTTATAAACTTTGCCAAAGCCACCGACACCAATGACCAAGCTCTCATCAAAGTCCTTTGTAGCTTCACGAATCTCAGAGAAGGCGAAGATACGCCCCAACGTCCGTGAAGGTGTTGTTGAAGCAAAACTACCTGCTGAGATTTTAGTTTCTGAAATTCCAATATGATTTGGAAAAGATAACCATGATAAAGATTTTTGTTTCACCATCTTTGGCTTACGGAAACAAACGAAACAGAGAAAACAGGACACTGCAATGAGCAATAAACCTGCTAAACTTCCTAAGATAGCAAAGACTATTAGCATTACATGTCTCTTAGTATTTGATCTTTCGGAATTGCTGAAATATCCTACAAATTTTCCGTCGAGGCTGCTACTGGGATTGCTCATTTTCATTATCTCCAAACCATTTAGAATAGCATTGGCTGGAGTAATCCTCAAATTAGAAGGACCAACTTGAACGAAAATTTTATTCGAGCCCATTGACATATTCACTACAAAATCCACAAAGTAAGCAGCTGACAATGCCATCGTCTTTGTTGAGATATCCAACGATTCCACGGCAGTTTGGTTATTGATGTACACATCGAAGATCAAATTGTTAAGAGAAAGACTAACAATATCACAGAAATGCATCCTAATGAAGTAAATGAATCCATGTTCGACTGGAAACGTCCATGTCATGTTGAACTTTTGATCTATTACTTTGGCATCTGCCATTTCTTGTGCAGTGGCATACACCCAGTTCGGTGCAATATCAACGGACTCACCTGCCGGATACTTGACTGATTTCGGATCCATACTCACCTTCCGAGCAGTAGCAGGATTAACAAGAAACGTATGATCTGAATTCCACATCCTCCACAAAGTGTCATTTCTTGGTGTCAATCTTGGACCCCCCATATTCACTCTATAAGCTGTCTCTAAAGCAACCGAGGACGGAACAACAAAACCTGGCCCCCTCGGAATAGGTTCAACACTGAAATCAAACTGACCCTCAGGCATAGAGACCACCTCTATCCCATTGATAAATGCAACTGAGCCACTAGCTGGAGACAATGTAAGTACTAAATTACCCGAACTACTCGATCCACCTATTTCGATTACGTATTCCTTCAACAAAGGTTCCTTTTTCCCCAATCTTGAAAAGGAAAACTCATGAAGCAATGTAATCCCATTAGCCACAACAGAAAAAACAGCTGATTTTAGGTTGTGTTTATTGTTCTTAACAGGATAGAAATGCAACCTTAACCAATGTCTACCAATCTGCTTTGTACTAATAGTATACACTGAACTTTCAGTAAACACTCTAGCAGAATTATGAAGTTCAGACAACAAACCATTTACATTATTTGACACAGTTATAAGTGAATCTGTTGACAACACCACATCAGAATCCCCAAAATCAGATTCAAAAACCCTTCCATCTTCAACTTGTATAGATTTATTTCCACCACAGCTAATCAAGAAACAGTCTATTGGGGTAAAAGAAGCAAAACCCAATGATGAAAAACTGAGAAAACACACAATGCTAGCAGAAAACAACAACCACCCTTTTAAAGAAACCATTTTTATTCAAATTTACAACTCAGATAACAGTCTATTGGTAAAAAAAGACCAAAACTGAGAAATCACACAATCCTAGCAGAAAACAAGAACAGCCCTTTTCCAAGAACACATTTTTACTCAAAAATACAGCTCAGAAAACAGGACAAAGGAAACATAATCCAATAACCAAAAACTAAGAAATCACACACAATGCTAGCATAAAACAACAACAACCCTTTACCAAGAACACATTTTTACTCAAAAATACAACATTACAAGACTGAAAACAAAAACCCCATATGGCAAAAACTCATTTTCTTGTCAAATTGAGCTAAAACAAACCCAAAAAAGGCCATACCTGATGTATACAAGATGAACAAAAAAGTAAAATTTGGGAAAAAGGTTGTGATTTTGAAGATGGGGTTTTTGTGTTTTTCAAGATTTTGGAAGTTTTAGGTTTGTTAAGGTGAGTGAGTGAGTGTGTAGTAATGAATTTTTTTGGGAAACAAGTTGTGTTTATGACATTAAAGTTGGAAGCTTAGGGAATTGAAATAGCTAGCTAACTAACACAACCACACAGCCAGTATACAACTGTCACTCTTGTAATATTTTAATAACTGTCTGCTATATTATCTCTAGATTCATGAGTTGACCTACTTTTTTTTTCTAATTTTATAATGCTAAAAATCCCAAAAAAAAAAAAATCTTTTTTTTCATTTTTGGGTGAAATGAATTTTTATTAATGAGAATATAGACACCTTATATTTTTGTTGATGCTGATTGAGATATTCATTTTATCATAAAAAAGCCAGTTCGATGTCTGAAATATTTTTAGATACAGGATTTGAGAAAGAATCAAACGGACCTACTTTTAAGGAATGTAAGAATCATGAATGATTTATTGGTAATGTGTCTACATTTTTTTAAAGATCTCCGTTAATCTAGCTGGTTATTTGGTGATTACTTTGCTTTTTCATAAAAGTAATTTTTTATAATTTTTGAAACGACATAATTAGATATGTTTTATTTTTCTGTCTACTCGGTGTTCAGTACCTACATTGAAGCACGATTAAATTTTGAATTCGTGCTGAAAAGTGTCTGAAGGTAAAATGCTCTCTAAGATAGACGATTTTTGTATTCAAGAGAACTCGAATCTGAAACTTTGGTTAAGAGTGAGGAAATACTTATCACTCGATAACAACCGTGTTGGTGAAGTAGTTAGATATATTATTCTATTTGTTTATTCATTCAAATATAAAAAAAATTGAAGAAAAATAAAATGAGGATGAGGATATTCCCTTTAAATCATCTTATTTTATGTGGGGCTTATGCAGGAGATCACGTGCAAATCACATGCCTAAGTTTTAATCACTTAATTAAGTAATCTAATCACGTGATCCATCCTGTTAAGATCCAGTTTAGTTCTTTTTGATTAATAATTAATAATATACAATTTTTCTAACTCAAATTAATCAAATCTTTGTTTGCGTCAGTAACACTCTACCGCTTTCCAGATTACCCATTTTTTTTTATAAAAAAAACTTTAACTCTCTAATACGACAGGTTTAAAATCACACGACTATAAAATATTTGGTATATATGATGTACTTTTAATCTAAAATCACAAATTACTTTTACTTTTTTTAAACTTCGTGACAAATCTAGGTATAACTATACTTAACTTTTCTTTTACTACTAGGAAACATAACACATTCTATGGCTTTAAATAACAATTAATATCTTAACTTGATATAATTAGATCTAGTAAACACACTTTTCAAGATGTGCATTCTCAAATGTTTATTATCAAAATTGAAGAGTTTACAAAGTCAATTTAAACCAAGTACTCGATACCTTTAACTTGATCTCAACGAACAACTAAATACGAACCGGACCAATTCTATTAACCAAAGCAGTACATAAGCCAACATAACATGTAAGCAAAGAGTGACAATGTTGTTCTCAAGAGTACAAACATATTGACCTCTCTAATTAAGAGTCACAACTACAAGATCTACTCAAACTATTTGACCTGAAAACAGCTAACAAAACTGTCGATTGAGCTATTTGTGTGCGAAAACAACTAGTTTCTGTTTAGATTATCTCAATCTTGTTTACCACATCCAATGCATCATAGTCTGGAGTCAGCCGAACGTGGCCTTTTTGGTTCCATCAGGCCTATTGAAAAGCGAACAAGCTTCATGTCAACAGTTTTCAGAAACAAAACATTCACTAAGGTCTAAGAACCAAAAAAACAGCCGCTGGCACGAAAATGGGATTCTATGTGGCATAGCATGATGATGGTGATCAACAGAACACCAACAACCTTATACTTAAGTATACTACATTGCAAATTACCGAGCCGTGAAATGAAAAATACAAAAAGATCATCTGATATGTGGGCATTTACCTGATCAAAAGTGTTCACTTTCTTTCTTCTTGTCAGCATGGATATCAACAATGAAAACTAAGGTGTTATTATCCTCGATCTTCTTCATTGCTGACTCGGTGATTAAAGGACAATTGAGGATTTTGTAATGATCCAGCTTGTTCCTTGGAGGTGCACTAATATGGGGATACTTTGGGTTTCTATCCTTCTTCAATGTCCTGGGCCTGTGAAAGGTGACTTTTGTTTGTATCTTCTTTGCCGTCTTCTTTATGGTTGAGCCAGATTTCACAGCCTTGGCAACCTTTGCAGCCCGAGCTTTGGGTCTGCCTTTTTTGTGCTACTAGCTGTGACCCAAAAGATAGAACAAAATCAATGTGATGCAATGTCACCATTTCCTTAATGTAAAACCAAATGTAAGGGGTTGCTGGTTTTGTACATTACAGAAGAGGCAAAATCTCAGTTCTTTTTCTATTCGTGTAAAGAGCTGAAAACTCAAAACTTGCAAAATATTCTAACATGTATCTGTTTCATATACATCAGCCATTGTACGCTAAAAAGCTAAGAAAACAAACAATTATAGGCTAGTCTAAGTACATTGTTCAATTTTCCTTCAATGCATCTCCAACCCTCTTCATCTCCACAACCAACCAGAAGAAATTAATAGTAATGCATATCACTTTTTCTACAGCAGTGCCATTGGAAATATAACTTCTAGTTTTTCTGCTACTAGAAAGAAAGAAATGATCTTTAGAATTCCCAAGTCCTATTAGACTCTTTTGTAAGTCTCTTTGGGTTCGTTATGCCAAATGGGGAACTTATTACTGGACATTACAAGGCAATCGAACAAGCAAAGGTCCGCTTTCCCAACTTCCAACCTCCATTAAACAGAAAATAAGAACTACGAAAAGAACATCGCAACACGAAGACCAATCAAATCGCAGTTCAAGCAATTACAACTACTTTAGCTTATCAATTTACAATATACAAATCAATCAACCAACTACAACTCAAATCAAAATTAGTCCAGTTTAGCAAAATAAATCCACTATACACATTCCGCTCTATCATTGCGACCTCATAACACGAAAATCAGTCAATTCGCAGTTCAAGTCCATTCGTACGCCAAAATTTAAACTATTGAAGATCCACAGTTCACACAAAGCTTATCAAAATACAGTATAATTGGAAGAATGACAAATTAAACAGTCAATCAACTAACTACAGTTCAATCAAAATTTGTTAATCAGCTAAAGAAATCCACTCCATCCATTTCGACATCCATTCAGCAAAAAAAAACTACGAAAATGAACAGCAATTCACAGTTCAAGCACATTTGCATTCCAAAACTTGCTGGTAATGAAGGTCCAAAATCCATGCAAATACAACTTCTTTAGCGTATCAAAAATCCGTAATGATCGAAAAACTAACAAATCAATCAATCAACTAACTACTGAATCAAAATTTGTCAAGTTCAGCCAACTGAATCCACTCAACCAATTCCAATTTCAGATAACTCTTCTCTTAAGGCAAATTAAAGGCTCTACAAAACCAGCAGTTCTCTAGCTTCGCATAATTCAGTAGTAAAAAAGTACATAATGAAGCTAAATACCTTTCGCCGGAGCCATTTTGACAGTTACTGCAACCCGGACCTTACCTACATCAAATCATACAAAAAAAACAATGAGTTACATATATATACAGCTGTTCACTTTCGTAGAAGGAACTTCCGGCAACGGCCGGCGAGACTTGACCAACCTGTAGGAGAAAGCGACGGGAGTTATTGCAGCCGCCGGTGAAGTCGTAGGACTGAACAATGACAGTGATAAAGTACTTGGGCTTGGGCCTGCTTTAAATATTTGGGCCTTATTGTGTTTTCCTCTTATAATACTCAGTTGGTTGCCATTTAGGTCTCGACTATCGATTGAAGGATCACTATTTAAACTAGGGAACTTTCACATATAGTTACTCAAAAATAGTTTAATTACGCTTTAAAATATAGTTTGTTAATTATGATTCGTAGTCAAATGTTATAGGAAGGAAAGTGAGGACAAAGGCGAGCGAGAGAGGACAAAGAGTGGAAAAGATGTGAATTCTATATGTATACTGATTAGATAATTGTATATATGCTGGTATACATATGTATCTGTATATCTAGAGAGTGAGAATGAGGGATGGAGGAGAGAGACGAGCGAGATTGAGAGAGAGGGAAACAATTTGTATAATTTGCATCTTGTTTGTATAATTCGTAGGTATGTTTGCATATGTTTTTTGTATAATTGAGTTATACAAAGTCTGAAATTATATAAATATAATCTAATTCTGAAATTATATAAATATAATCTAACTCAAAATAAACGAATTGATACAAACATAAACATATAAACTTTAAGCAGTTACACCAATTGTAGCCATCGTGTATAAATTTTTGTATGTTTCCTCGTTTAGATCAACTTTACACATTTAAGACTGAAGTTGAAAAAAATAGTGTTTGAAGTTTAAATTCGAATAAAATATATGTTGGATTTGTCTATTTATAATGTGCACCTCAATATTATTGACCTATTTATACCATGCATTCAATATGTATATATATGAAGTTGTAAAAATCTAAAACATTGAATAAGTTACAATTAAATATTCACAAGAAAAATATTTGAATTAGCCATTCAAATCTACTAATAGTTATTATCATTTTTATTGGTTAACTTATTTCGTCGATAGTTTAAAGTCAAAATGTTTTATTGTGTACCTCACGATATAATCAAATTAACAATAGCATTTGTTATATATATCGTAAGCACTAACAACTGAAAATGATTATTCTCATACAATATATTATCAGGTAAAAATAATTAGACATGTGATTAGGCAAATATTTATGACGTAGATTCGATCACTTGAAAAGACCTTACTCATGCGCCCCTCTAAAGTGCGATAAAGTTCACCAACCTAGGTCATGAGCCTTCTTGATCAAACATTGACCCTATTCACTTAATGATGTGGGACTAAAGTGATCCTTCTTAGATAGGCAAATTTTGCTGTCCAAAAAAAGCACTTTTTGCTAATTTTACAGCTTAATGCTAGCCTGTTTAATGATTATTTAGGAGTCTAACATCAATGTCAATAGTGTCAGAATCGGAATCTTCATTAACAAGAGTCAGACTATATATATAAAATTAGTAAATATTTAAGTTAAAGTCAAAAGGACTCAATATATAGTAGTATATATTGCATACGTTTAAAAAATTATATTTATTTACACAATATAATTTTTCGTGAAGGGGTGTCAATTGACGACAACACAAGGAAAGAAAAAGGAATTACATGATTAATTCCAAATAAGCCAAATGCATGTGCTGAGTATTGTTCATGAATAGCTATGAACAAGTTTATGACATATGTAGTGTTACGCGTTCATCCTAATTCAATAGCTCAGTAAATCAAATTTCTAACAAAATCCATAAAGTTTAAATCACAAATCAACCATTAGACTTATGATTAGGAGTAGAATTAAACATAAACATTTAGAATTTGAATTGGGCAGGGGCCGCGCGAACGCAGGCCCTCACAGCAACAAATTATGACGTAGGCTCGACCACTTGGGCCGACCTTAGATTGGCACCCCTCCAAAGTGCAATGGAGGTCACCAACCTAGGCCATGGGTCTTATTGATCGCCTATTGACCCCGTCCAGGTAAGTATGTTTCTTGGTAGTACTTTGTCTTTTTTTATAGTATATCCTCATTCCTCTTATGTCTTCTTCACTTGGCGATGTGGGATCATCGTTTTTCAATTCAATTTAATGAACTTCTATTAGTTTTCATTAATATTACGACACTATCCTAACAATTAATCCAAATAATTACTTAGCGATGTGGGAGCAAGTCATCGTTCTTCAATTATTATCTCAAATTGAAATTCCATCAGTTACACATTCAACCTTTTGCACAAATGCTCATCCCGACTAAGCATTTTCGTTGTCATCTGTATTATAAGAAGAAACGAATAACGACATAATGAATGGTAAACTTTTTCTTAATCTATTCGAACGAATAACAAATAAGAATGCAGTTCTTTTGATGGTCCTACTGTCATTTTATTTCGACGATAGCATAAACTATATAGAGTAGTACGAGCCTATAGAACAGATCCTGTAGTACAATAGTACGGCCGAGAAGAAATGAAGACAGACAAGAATGTAGCAGCAGAGAAACAGATATGTAGTTTATGAATGATGGCCACTTTGAATTGTCATAGTTAAAGGTATTAGGAAAAAAAAGGTACAACTTTCCAGGATTTGGAATGATTTCATAGTCATTTTCAAGTTGGCGTAAACCAGATTTTGAATAACGAGTGTACCAAGAGCTCATTTTCGTTTCAAGAAAAGCGTTTGGGGTTCTGCAGAACCTGTAAATAAGATGTTATATGCATGTTTGCTTAGTTATTGTCAGTCACAAAAGGTAGTCGAGAACGATCCTCTATGGCTCCACGACCCCTGGAAGGCCACGAAGGATGTTGATCACGAGCTAGTCCCATGGTCAGTCGTGCCAATCAATGTTGCTACAATGTAATATGAAAGAAATGAAATGATTAGCCAGGCTGAGAACGATCATCTACTGCACCATGACCCCCGAAAGGCCATGGAGACTGTCAATCACACGCTCGAGTGGACGTTAATGTAGTGGGCAATGGAGGCATTGTTTTTTGCTCAGTCAAGTAACAGAGTTATTACTTTAGTGTGAGAGATTAAGATTTTAATCTCACTTGTTGTATTCGAAGTTTGTATTCACTTTTGCTTGTGATTAGCGATCCTGTGTGACATGTCATGATTTTAGTCCTGAGCAAGGAGGTTTCCATATAAAACTCTATCTTCATTGTCGATTACATAAGTTCTTTACTTCATTTATCGATGTCAAAAACAAGGCTCGAGAAAGAAAAACTAAATCAACCTATTTGTTTATGCTTCATTGCAATAATCACAAACCTGTCAATGAGATACACAAGAAAACAGTTGTATTTTGAATTGGATAGGGGCTGCGCGAACGCAGGCCCCCACTGCAACAAATTATGACGTAGGCTCGACTGCTTGAGCCGACCTTAGACAAGCACCCCTCCGAAGTGCAATGGAGGTCACAAGCCTAGGCCATGGGTCTTATTGATCGCCCAATGACCCCGTCCAGGTAAGTATGTTTCTTCGTTGTACTTGGTCTTTTTTATAGTATATCCCCATTCCTCTTCTGTCTTCTTCACTTGGCGATGTGGGAGTAAGTCATCGTTTTTCAATTCAATTTAATGAACTTTTATTAGCTTTCATTAATAACGCTCTTCACTTGCCGTTTATTTATTTTTTTCGAAGAGTTATGATTTTTCCGAATGAGTTGTGACCTTTTGAAAGGGTTGTAATTTAACTTTTATAAAAGACACAATAAGCATATTTTCACACATTACTGTTTATTGGCTATAAAAAGAGGAGTTTCGTCAAATTTTTAAACTACAATTTTAAAAGTTTTTCATAGTCCTTCTTCTTCTTCTTAAAACACTTATATTCAAAGTTGACATCTTTTTACATTGAATCGTTAAGATTTTTTTAAAAAAAGTGACTTTTCCGATGAGTTGTGACCTTTTTCGAATTATTGTAACTTTTACGATAAGAAATATGCACATGTTCATGCTACCGTATGATAACTATATGGAGGAGTCTCCTCTCATTTTAAAATTCAATCTTTTTTATGTTTTCTATTCTTATCTTCTTTAAAACTCATGTTTGATTTAACATACGTTAAAAGTATATCTTTTATATTTAATATCAATGTTTATTTATTTATATTTAAAGTAAGAACTACAACAATACGCTAATAACTAAGTAATGCACCATGGGGGAGGGAGGAGAAAGGAGTGATTAACATTCACTGGTAATCATAAGAAAATTTGTATCCACTATTTTATTATTATTTAATTAATTTTTTTTATTTAGTAATAGTCATATTATTGTAAATGTGTATATTAGATCACAAAAAATGAAGCTTTTAAATATAAATTATTGAGAATGTGAGTACTGATATAATTTATAAGACTATAAATGAGATACTAGAAAATGATTTTCTTTTGAATTGGGTAGGGGCTGCGCGAACGCAGGCCCCCTCTGCAACAAATTATGACGAGCACGTAGGCTCGACTACTTGAGCCGACCTTAGGCAGGCACCCCTCCAAAGTGCAATGGAGGTCACAAGCCTAGGCCATGGGTCTTATTGATCGCCCATTGACCCCGTCCAGGTAAGTATGTTTCTCCGTTGTCCTTCGCCCTATTTTATAGTATCTCATCATTAATCTTCTGTTTTCTTTGCTTAGCAATGTGGGAGTAAGTCATTATTTTTGGATTTTCATTTCTATTTATTGAACATCCATCAGTTATCACATTTTCTACATATAATGTGGCATACGCTTATTTTTGAATGATTTCATAGTAGGCGTAAACCAGATTCTGAATAACCAATGTAGCAAGAGTTTGGGGTTCTGCAGAGAACGATGTAATATGAAAGAAATGAAATGATTAGCCTTCCCTATTTTTGGATTTGGAATTTGACATCTCAAGGCGGTAAACCAGGCTCAGAACGATCATCCACTGCACCATGACCCTCGAAAGGTGCCATGCACGCTCGAGCCTCATGGCCATGATTCATCCACCAGACTTGGTATCCTGTCTCGTTAGAAGTCAAGGATTCAGTGGTACGAGCCTATAGAACAGATCCTGTTCAAGTAAGGTCGTGTCTGTCTATGTTTCTGCAATGTAATATAAAGACTTGGCTCTCTAGCTAGCTTATCAAATGTTTGCACTCTTACCACTAAGACAAAAATTATCCACCATTCTACTTGTAGTCCTAAACCCACAATTAAATGCTGAATGATTTAGTCATTCATCAACCATACAGCTAATCAGAATATTGATCAAACAAATTCACCTATTGCATCAATATAGAACAATAACAAATCCAACGTAATCCCACAAGGTGAGGTCTAAAAAGGTAGTGTACCACTACCTTGTGAAGGTAGAGAGGTTGTTTCCGATGGAAACTCGGCTCAAGTAAAACATATCAACATCAGATTGAAAAGGAAAAAACAGTAGGGAAGACGCCGGCTATGTCAAAAGAAAGGCTAAAAATGGTTTGGAACCAAAAGGCAACAGCAGTTTTGATAATCATTGGCACAAAGGCATTGTACATAATGAAAGGATTAAAAACAACTATAGATCAAGAACTATTTTGATGCCTAAACTGGCTTTGAAATATCTAATTTCTAAGTCATGGCCAATGTACAATGATAAGTCGGCCAATTGCCTCTAAACGGTCATCGGGTGTTGCAGCAACTACATGTACATTCAGGTGAACCACCTCTGACAACTTCTAAAAGCAGCCTCCTCCTGCAGAAGAGAAACACAAAATAACTCGTCAGTTAAGGTGACGGTAAAGTAAACAGACGATCTTGAACCTTGCTCAACCACAAAGTTGAGGAGCGCTCAAGACCATATAACGGAGACAACAATAGCTAGTTCTCTCAACCAATGTAGGCACCCACGCCCAAGACTGAGATAATACAAAGAAACGTGTAAAGACTATAGTTTACATATTAAAACATATACTGTTTTCAACTCCTCAGACCCAAGAAATGCAACCAAACTCCAACACTGAATGATCGATAGATAACATCACAGTCCAAATCTAAAGAATTCTTTTTCTTTTTTTTTTAGAATAGATTCACCTAATGATTTTGCCTCCGGGGGAATTTGAATCTGAGACAACTCACTTGATTAACCACTAGGCAACACCCTTGAGTATAGAATATTCGTTTTAAATGACAACCATGAAGAATTTTTTCCCAAACATATTGCAGGTACTATATATTTGTAGTAGTATTTCGGATACATACCTACACATTATGGTCAGGTGGACTTCACTCAAAAGCCAGTAAAATTATGGAAGCTGAAAATGTACGAAAGAGGAGGTGATCTACTGGAACGCCTGATGTGCCCTTGAACATGTTAGCTTAACCGGGGAACTCAAAAATGCTAGGAGCTCAGCAGGTTCTTCATCTTCTTTCACAACCTATCAATCGCATGTATAGAGAGAATAAGCATTGAGATAAAAACACATCAAACAGTATAACACAAATCTAGATAATAACCCATCCACCCGAGACCAAATGAAAGAAAACAGAACAGAACAGAAGGGAAGGGGTAGAACACCACTTGGGAAAATCCAAGAAAAATACACATCATCCTGCAACTTTGTGAGTGCTTATGCCACCAACAATTCGGGGAAGCTATTAACTGATACTGATCTTAATTAATTAAATAGAAGAACGAATTGTATAGACATGTTATATTAGCATCTTTGTTTTTCCACGCATAAATAATGCAGTTTCAACTCTCAAGAAAATATAACTTGCTAAATTAACTAAAAAATAAGAGAAGGTCAAAGGCAAAGTATGAAGAGCATTTCCTGATTCTAGCCACATACTAATTTCATTTTTTCATTTTGTTTTGTGAATGTTACAGCTGAAACATAGAAGACCCCATCTATCAAATACTATGAGCAGCTAAAAAAAATCATATATGAGCGGCTCCAAAACTTGGATCAAGAAAAGCATGCAACAATAGTACAAGAGTATGAAATAGTGATATACCTCAATGTTGGTGTCATTTGGCAGAACCATTCGATGAAGAACATCTGAAGCAGCCTGTTTCCAGTCAATCTCCCCTGGATCACCACCAAGCCCTTTGCAGCTTACCTTCCGGACCTTGCTAATCTCACAAATAAAAGACCTTCCTACCCAAACATACACAGCTCTACCTGCATCTTTTCCAGAACCTGAAGTTGGAATAATGAAAATATATGCATTTTTAGAATCCAAATCATCAATGCTACAAATAGCGAGTTTCTCCAAGCTGGGCCAACGATATACAACATGTTCCACTAGGTTACAAGATGCCCCACCAGTATCCACAACACCATTTAACACAGCCGTGCTCCTTTCATTGCATGGTATTTTCTCCCATAACTCACGAAAGCCACTAAAAACAGCAGATTCTTTATCAGAAGGAATACCAATGCCTAAAATATCTAAAGAACTATGCAATTCATCCATTTTACACTCAATTATCTCTTGTGGGGAATGTAAAATCTCAGCTGCAGTCCCTGCTTCATTAAAAGACTCATTTGTCGCTTCTGATATGCCAACATCACCTTGGTCATTGGCAACACTCTTCAAATGACCTGATTTACTGTCAAAATCATCAGTCAGCGATGGAAGCTTGAGACCCTTCGATAAACTACCTCTCCGCTCCGCAATGGAGAGGGGAAACTTTTTAGACAACGGAGGAGCTGTTTGTGAAGAAGTCTGGGAAGTGAAGTTGACATCAATATATTTTGAAGTTTTAGATATGGACTGTGGAGAAATCTTGGAAGGGAGAACAGATACACTGGAGTCAGACGGTGTTGAAGAAGTTAAATCTGCACAAGAGATAACTGAAGGTGACACAACTGGAGAATCAGAAAGACATTTTGAATTGATGCTTGAATCAGACGAGATGGAGTCTGGAGAGAGATAAGGAGGTGATGAGGCTGATGATGAAGAAGATGTTGAAGATAAGGATATTGCAGTTGGTGATGGTGAACACAAAGACGATGAAGACAACATAGAAGAAGAATCTAGTTGGTTAGTTCCACAATTGTCTCTCTTTACAAACATAGAATCAGGAAAGACTCTAGAGATACCTGACTTCGTTGAAAAGACAAAATCCCTCATATTATTCCCCGATACAAATTTTCGCCTTAGCATGCTCCAAGAACTTTCTCTAACTGGAAGGTGGGTTTCATGTTCAGTCTCACACGACGCAAAAGGAGGAACAAAGCCACCTGAAGTAGCTTTTTGGAAAATCTCAAAGTCAACATCATAATTATCCACCTTTCTTTCCCCTGGACAAATCTTACTTGATGACTCAACAACATCCCGTCCATTCTTTAATTTGTCCATCAATGGCAGGAAATTGGAGAAAGCATCCCAGAAGTACAGAGGTTCCTCACCTTCAAGGACTGTTATGATAGGGCCCTGCACTTTCTCATAACGAACAATCTGGCAAACAGCCCCACTGGCATCTCTTTCCATGATTGCTTCACATTTCTTACCAATCCATACATATACCGATGAAGGTATGTGTATAATAAATGCACCTCTAGAATCTAATGCTGCCGGTGAGGGATCATTTAACATTTTTGGGACGAGATGCAAAGGATCGTATGGTGAATGAGGTGCAACTCTGTACATCCTTAATAATGAACTTGGGCTCAAAGGAGAAGCATGAACCCTTTTTTGGCATTGTAATAACTGACAAGCAAAACCCATATTTGGATCCGCAATACCCCTTGCTGCCTTTACATACTCAAAGGCATCATCAAAACTTTGTCCTTCTCTCCACATACGATAAGCAATAACCAACGAGGTTGACCGAGAGACCCCTTGGCAGCAATGAACAAAAACCTTCCCATGTTGCTCCCTGACATCTTCAAAGTAGTCAAAAACATCATAGAGAATACTAGTAATATCTTCTGATGGGCTATCCTGCAACCACAAAGTCCGGTATACGAAATCAGACTTGAAATACTCTGGGCATACAAACCCCACACAGTTAAGAACATGGGTAATCCCATTTTGTTTTAGTATATCCTTATCTCTTGCCACTGCATCCCCACCAAGATATATGTGTTCGGCCACCTTTGAACACTCCTTATCGAAGAAAGCAATTTTTTCCCTTCTCACAAGCCCACCATTAGCCTCTGGATTTTTATGTATGTTTGACAAATCCAGTTTAAGCCTCTCACTGTTGCTGTGTGAATCCCTCCCACTGGGGGTGGCAGGAAGCGGCCACTCTCCAATATCATCAGATCCTGCTCTCGGCCACTCATCTAAACTTCTACGAGCAATTGCTAATGGCTGCAATGGTGGCAGACACGACCTAGCCTTGAAACTATGTTGCGACCTAGGAGTTAAAGGCCTCCGACCGTGAGAACTATTACTTCCATTTGGGTCCAAGCCATCTTTTTCCGTATCTGGGTTAAGCGGAGGCAGAGAAGTCCTCGAAGACGACCAAGATGCTGACCTCCAGTACATTCTCCGACCATTTGCAAGTTGACATTGTTCCTGAGAACCATCAGCTCCACCAGCTGAAGCATCTTCCTTTCCCGGCATTCCGACAATCAAAACTAGGGACAAACTCTAACTGCCACAG